CACACATTTGCTAGTAACAAGACACTGAAGGCAATTTTTTCCATTCTGCAAGTTGACATCACATGAGTCCACAAAAAACACAGGCTGACCAGAAGGAAACCTACCCAGTCCTCTCATTATCCACAAATGCTTTCATCCTTTTTTTCTCTGCTGCATTATTCCACATCAATAAATAAATGAGGAGCAGAGCAATACGCAGCACTGAGTAACATACTCAGATCAGTTCAAGTGTCTGCAAGCATAAGGTCACTTATGTTACCTGAATTGTCATTGAATAGGGACATACTTCTATAGCAAAGGCAAGTTATAAAGTGGAATTAATTCTTTCAGCTAACCAACCATACACTGAAGGAAAATGGTAAGGTCATCCTGAAACAATCAGGACAACTCTCTACTCCCACACTGCTTCTGCTATCAAGGTCCAAAATAATCACTCCATCTTACTTCACTACAGTTCTGGGTTTGACTAAAGAATTGTGCAGAAATATTTGGGGGCAAAAGACAATACTGGGATTTAGGTTATAAACACTGGCTTTTTATTAGTGGGTGAGTGGAAAATGGGGAGCAACCATGTAAAATTGACACAGCTGCACAGAGGCCCAGAGAACCTACAAACTAAGAGCAGACTGGCTTTGCTAGTTCAGATTAAAAGCATGGGGAAATCTGTCCACAACATCCCAAGCATCTCTGAGGGTGGCAGGGGTCATCTAAAATTGTTGTTTATTGAAGTTTTTATTAGCCTCTTGAAAGGAATTTCTTTCTCTCTTTCCAAGGCATTCCATATGAAGCATTCCTGGAAGCATGAAGTAGATGTTTAAATACATGTATACACACATTCTATTATTAGAGTCCTCTGCAAGGACCTAATAATAGAGAAGTCCATAATTTGTATAAGGCAATGATAAGAGACCAGGATGTAAAGCATGTTTTAAGGTATTTGCATTGCTGCCACAGAATTGCAATACACTAAATCCACACAGAAAAATCAGACAGGCTTATCACCTTCATCTCCAGAGAATTCAAGTGTTTGCTCTCAGTTATTCTAAATCTAAAAAATAACAAGATAAACAAAAACACAAGAGCAGAAACCCCTCTCCTGAATCCATCTTGTCATTGCACTGAGTATCTTATAGAATGAGGAGCAGATGCCAGAACAAGCAAATGCCACATATTAGTATTAGCTGTAGTTTCATCCTCTCAAAAAAAAAATTATAAAATATGTATTTCATTATTTAGGAATTGTTTATTGCTTCATATTACAAAACTAACACTATACATAGCTGCAGTTTACTAAACAGAGCATCCACACAGCAATTTTCAGTATATCACCATTATAAACTGTCACCATTAGAAAAACAAATAGAGAATGTTTCTTATGCTGTTGGCTTTTTGTCTGTTATCTGCTAACAAACACCACAATTTACTTGTAAACAAAGGATTCCTCAGATGAAACGCAGAAAGCATGTCACTGGAGAAGCCCTGCATTTTAACCTCTAAGCTCAAGGAAACCCATCCTTTTCCCAATTAAAAGCACCACAAAGATTTGCTCCAGGCTGCACTACCTGGGACCTCCAGGGAATATTCCTGCTCGAGAACAGACTTTAACACAGACAACGTTTTCCTTGAGTACTTGCTCAACAGCACCGTCATTTTTCATCCAGAGCAAAGCACAGATTTAACATCCACAGCAGCATTTCTGAAAGGCAACTCATCTCTCCAACACTGTTGCAAATTCCACAATAAATCACATTTAATTAGTTTGTGCCTTTTTTTCCCTTTTTTTTTTTTTTCCCTGGCTGTCTGGAATCCGACAGCAAGCAGGCTTCCAACTTCAGTTTTGCAAAGAGGCGCTTAGAATAAACTGATAAAAACGCCAAGCACCACGTCCCCACTGGAAGCCGCTTGGAGTTATCTGCTCGCTGGCACACCAGCATTCCTGCCTGTAGATGGCTTTCCACCGCTGTGTATCCAGCGGCTCCTATTTCCACCGCCTTGTTTGAAGAACTTCCCTCTTCCCACATACCTTCCATCTCCAGGGACGGATCACACAGGGACACTAAACCTTGGCCGTAAACAATACGAGTTCTGATCCAGAGGACCCTCCACCGCTCAGCAGCGCGGAGACAATCGCCGAGGCACAAATCCTCGGGGCAACGCTTGGGAAACTTTGTCTCGCCAGTTATTTTGCACAGCTGAGATTTACACAGGGCTCTGCTGGCTTCTTCTGCTATTTATTTTATTTGCTGCACACCAAAGGCTGCTGCAAACAAATGGAATTTCGATAACTTGCGGCATGTTGCTCGAAACAATTCCAGTGACACTATTTCCAGACTTTAAACCAAACAGCCTTGGTGGAGCGACAGGATGCTGTCCCAGTGTGTCCCAAAGTGCCACCCCACTCCATCTCCCCCCATGTCTTTTCTTTGGATGGAAGTGGCAGACTACAGTGAAGAAAAAAGCACTGCGGAGAGTAATTTGTTCGATTCAGGTGTTTTCAGGCTCTGGGCCTTGTATTTAATTACATGTGCTTAGCAGGCATTTATCTTCATGCTACAAGCATTTATTCATACTGTAAATGTTGGTTCTGACAGCCTCTTTTGGTTCTGACAGACATTTTTGAGGGAAAAAGTCAATTATACTTATTAGAAAGTTCATTAATACAACCACACACATGCACAAGTTTGCTGCATGATCTGTACATATTTTCTTGAACAGATTTATGAACTGCAGAAGTTTGACAGCTCTTAACTGCTTCTCTTTCTCAGAGAATATAAAGAAAACTATAAAGTGAGGAAGAAAAAAAACCAAATTCTCTGCTAAGAAACAGGTATGATGGAGAAAACTTCTTTTAGTTCCCTGAATACTACACGTAGGAAAAAAGTGCCAGGATAAACACATTTCAGATTGAAAGTTACAAACTTCTCTGCGACTAATGATAAAATACTTACAGTATGGAGTTACAGCTCTGAGCTTCTTGGCTATAGCAGAATATCAGCTTATTTTGGCTGCTAGCTACCTTCATTTCTTATCCTTTGGCCAACTATAGGCTAACAGTATGAAAAAACCCTCTCATTGCTGTCCCAGCAGCGACCTCAAACCCAAACCAGATGAGTCCCAAAGGCACAAAATTTTAAAAAAGAAAAAAAATAAGTAAAACATATCACCTTCCACACAGACTCATCTCTGAGCTACATTATAAGCATAAAGTAGCTGAAAGATACCGAACTGGGAGGAACAATACACCATACTTCTGGGGCAGCAGACGTTTCTGCCACAGCAGGGTCCCAACACAACCACAAATCACAACAGCTTTGAAATTAACGAGAGGGAACCGCAGAAGTGCTGAAGATTAAGAGAAAAGCACTAACAGACCGCTTCTGTGCGAGACCCGAAATGACCCCGGGAATTCGGCCAAAAATCATTTTCTTACTGGTAGCACCGGCAGCGACTGCTGAGAAAGACACACGGGCCGCAGGTGAACGGGGCAAGGGGAGCGAGATGCTTCCACTCAGGAGGAGCCCTCGGCCACTCCCGAGGTTCATGGAAGCCATGCCTTTATCTGGATTCCCAGCCAAGCACACATTGTGCCATCCGTGTCCAGACCGGCCGCTCCCCATCAGAACAAAGCGCAGACCCGGACCAGGACAGGCACTGCCAGGCCTGGCACTCCCAAACTCTTTTAAAGCAAGTTCTGCTGCTACAAAAAAAAAAAAAAGAAAAAAAAGGTTGAGAAATAGTGGTCTACGCTTAAAAAAAATCTGTGGAAGTTTGAAATGCCATTACCCAGCACATTGTTAAACTCGAGTTAGACTGGTTTGGCACCTTTCAGGAACGTACTGTGCTCTGCAGGGTAAGCGGTTAAGGGATACAGCAGCTGTGGTTAGGGCACAGGTAACTGGGATATGTGAATCCTGTTCTCACAGACCCAGCACGGAGTCCGAATAGCAAACAAAAAAATCCACAATAAAAAACACCAACAAGGAACTCTAATCTCCACATATCTCAGTTCCCCCCCCACCCCACCCCGTGATGGGGTAACTACCCCTTTAAGGCCAGTACTTTTATACACTCAAAGGACACAAAGAAATGCAAATGAAATACAAAATTACTAATATGGAGAGAGGCAGGCTTGCCCCGCGCCTTCTATTCTACAAATATAGATGGGATAAATGGTTCGTTACATTTAACTCCAAGCCGCACTACCTCCGCCAAAACCTTATTTAAATAGAACATTTCTGAGAACCGGGAAGGGGGGGATGCAGCTGTGGTCTTAACCTAAGAAAGGTTAAGCTTTTAAAAAGGGTTGTTCTTTTTTACTCCGTCTGCTGGTCGCATGCCATTTTAAAAAGGTGTCTGGCAAGCAAAAATAAAAAGTTTCCAGGGCTTTCCTTCCCCAAGCCGCCTCTGCCAGGAGCCCGGCGGGGAGGACGGGGCCAAGAGAAGACGGTCGCGCCTTTCTCCAGCTTTTTCTCCAACATGCCCTCTGGATCCCGACGTTCTGGAGGCGGAGGAGCCCCCGGTTCCTCCACCTGCCCGCAGCCCCGGCCGGGCAGGGGGCTGCGGAGCGGGGCGCGGCTCGGGGGTGCCGCGGGCGGGCGCCCCGCACACACCGCGGTGCCCGCGGCCCCCGCCGGCCCCGACCGCTCCCGCACTTCTCCTCCGGGAGCCGCAGCGGGCGGGGAGGGCGGCGGCGATGACAGCGGCCGGGCCGGCCGCCCCCAGGGACAGCCGGGCGGTGCTGGAGCGCCCGTCCCGCCGCCAGCCCCGAGCGCGGCCGCTCCCGCCCGCCCGCCGGGCGCTCCCCGCGGCGGACGGAGCCGGCGGGGCGGGCAGAGAAACTTTCCACCGAGTGCGGCCGCGTCCCGCCGCCGAACAAAAGAGCCGGGACCCGGAGAGGCGCCGCGGGGCGGGGGACGCGGCTGCCCGGCGCTCGGAGCGCAGCGGAGCCGCGGGGCTCCCCGCCCGGCACCCGTTCGCCCGCAGCGCCGCCGCGTCCTTACCTGCGGGAGGGCGGTGCGGGGCGGCGAGTCCCGGTTAGCTGGAGCGAGTGCCGGGAGGGCTCGGCGGGGATTCCGCCATGTCAGTGATGTCGGCACCACATGGGGCCCCGGCCGGCCCACGCTACCGCGCACTCTGGAGTAGCGGCTCCCGCCGAAAAGGCGGCCGAGGCGGGCGTGGGACGCCGGCCAGCCCCGCTGCCGCCCCGCCCCGCGCCGCCGGGGCGGGCGCTCCGTGAGGGGCGGGCACGGGCGGGCACGGCGCCCGGCCCCTTCGGCCCCAGCCGCTCCGGTTCCCGTTCCGCCTCGTCCGCCCGACGCGATCCGCCCGTCGTTCCTTGGAATCGCGGAATAATAGAGTTAGAGAATCGTCAGGGTTGAAGATGAGCCGGTCCAGCCGCCCGGCCAGCAGCACCGCGATAACCCCTGAACAGCATCGCCCAGCGGCCGCTCCAAACGCCTCTTTAACACCTCCAGCGGTAGTGACTCCACCTCCATCCGTTTCAGTGTCAGACCACCCTAAAATTAAAACATTTGTTTCTAATGTCTAATCCGAATCTCTCCTATCTCAGCTTTAGGCTGTTTTCCTCTCACTGCAGGTGCGGGAGAAGAGAGCATCCCCTGGCTGGCTACAATCTCCTTTCAGGGACTTGTAGAGAGGGATGAGCTCTCACCTGACCCTCTTCTTCTCCATATTAAACAAGCTCTCCCCCAGCTGTTCCTCATAAGATATGTTTTGTAGACCCTTCACTTACTGCCAGATATCACCCTTAGATCACGCATCACCCATGGAGCCTCCTGTCCACCCAGCCCTAGCAGGGGTGTGTGGTTGTGATGGATGTTGGAAAGTTGTCACCAAAATGCCATTTCTGACAGGGTAGCCCTTTGCCCAAGCAGTTCCAGGCTGGGGTCAGTGCATGTCCCCATCCATGTCTGTGTTCTCCCCTTGGTGCCCGCTGCGGGTTGCTGCAATGCCAAGGCCTGTGCTCCCATCAGTGTGGTCATTCCTACATCCCCATCAGCTACGAGCAAGGAGGAAAAACTCTAGGCAATGTTTTCAGGGCTAAAGGCTCTGACTTATTAAATTGTGCAGCCCTAAGGAAGAGTTTAAGCCCTGGCTCTGGAAGAGAGCCCTGAGGAGGGGCCGTGGTGGTCATTCACCTCCCAGCACTGCATCCAAGCCATGGGGGAATCATGACTGGAGCTGTAATCTGGTTACAGGAAAAGCTTAAAATAGGACTTGGCCTTACCCCCACCACAGATCACAGCCGTGCTATGAAGGGTCTTTTGATTTAACCACGGTCCTTGGGGAAGCCAACCTTCCTCTGCAGGAGCCCATCGCCCACACGTCCTGTGCTCTGCCTTCTCTCCATCACTGTATTCTTCACTGTTACTTTTCCCAACAACTTTTATCAATGATTGATCCGTTTTATCCACCAGAGCAAGGTTTCCTTTCAAAAACTCAAAAAGCCTCTGGAGTCTGAGGCAACCCAGGTGTATTTTCTTCAGCTTGCATTAAAATATCAACACAAACATTTTTCCCATAGGACTCCTTGATGTTCTGCTTCTTGCTGAAACATACACTAAAGAAAAATCAGTTTGGCATCAAGGCTGAGCAAAAGCATCATGGCCAAATAGGCTGGGTTTTGGGCTTTTTTGTACATGACTAAAACCCAGAAAAATGAAAATAAAGTTATCTGAAATAGATAATTCCTACGAAAATAACAAATAGGCAATTTTCCCATGGGAAAGATTTTTCATTGTCGAATGGTCAGCCAGCACTAAGTATTGTTCGTTGTTAATTGCAAAAACTTTTGTAATGCATAAAATCTAAAAGTAGAAAAATGTTTTGTTTTATTATTGACCCAAAACATGCAAAGTTTTTGATGGTCCTGGATAGACTTACAGACCAGATGAGATTAATTATTTACTGGGGTGGTAAAGACTTTACTTGGTCTCATAGACAGTTTTGTGGGGGGGGGGGGGGGGGGAAGAGAGAAGGGACAGTGAAGGCATTGGTTTGGAAGGGAAAAAATCACTGACACAACTTGGAAAAGGATGAAAAAAAGATAAAATTTAAATTGAAGAGTAAATAAACCTGGAGAAAGCAAAATGAAGAGAAATAAAGAAGAGGAAAGAAATGGAACCGTAGGGCTGATTTATAGCTTTTCTATCTATCTAAAAGTCTGGTCCATATCCGGAAACTCAGAACAGGGTCCTCAGGAACAGGGACATTTCCAGTCTCACCTGAAACTGCAGAAGGGCAGACTCACAAAAACTAGAGCAAGGTCAGCCTGGACCTGGAGCAAATGTTGCCTTCTCCTTGGAGCTCCTTCTGTTCATCCCCACAGCCGTGGTGAACTGGAAGAGCAGACGGATAACAGCAACAATAAAGGGATTCAATGGAGCCTGGGCATGGCTCAGGAACCAAGGGCAGGGGAGAGTGAAGCAAAGATTGCTTTCCATCGGAGAGTTCCTACATAAATAACAGATAAAACTATTTAATTAACAGCTTACTCCCTGAGCCAGCTCATCTAGGAAGAGCATTAATCAGACCAAGAGGAAATGTCTCTTGCCACTGAAAAAGGAAAAGGATTAGGTTAAGTGATGACACAGCAGGGACAGACAAGTCACACTGGAGAAAATGACTGACATCAACTATCATCCAAATAAATACAGACCAAAGTTATGAACTAATTTTTCTGTTTTGATGAGTCTGTTTTTTTTTTTTTGTCAATAGCACTCATATTTCTCTTTTATCACAGTGAGATCTTTCTGTTTACTCAGGAAGCAATTGGCATCCTGAGTGCATCTTTTCCATCTCTCTTCCCTCATGTGCTGTTGCAGAGGAGCAGGGTGCAGGGGCTGAGCTCTGTCCTTTGGTCTTTCTCTTGGATCCTTGTCCCCATGACAGTCACACAGATGCAGCAGGAGCAGACAGAACCCCCAGCTCCTTTCAGGCTGGAATTGTTTAGCCATCACACAGTAACAATTTTGGCACTGCTGAGGGAGGCTGGATCCAAACCAGTTCCAAATCCTGTATTCTGCCATCATCTCCATCAGCCATTCCCTCCTATTCTGTGGCAAAACCCAGAGAGGGGCCCATGTCTCTGTACAATTGGGATGTGGCCTTGGAGGTCAAACATCATTGCCAAGGCTGTGAAGACAGTCTTTATTCTCTCAGGATACTTCCCCTCACATTTCTGATGGGATTTGAGTTTAACTGTGACTATTCCCACAGGCAGCATCTTCTGAATTCTGGAGGGCAGGCAGGCAGAGATCTTGGCATTGGTGCTGTTTGACAGCATACAGAGAATGCTTTGATTGATTTATTTGCAGAATACTGTGTTGGTTTTTACCTGGGATATACTGCCCTCAGTCAGTTTTAACCCTGCATAGCACCAGCACAGAGGGTGGATGGTTCCACCCAAACCCTGCATGGACTGTGGCCCCAGGAGTTTTCTCTCCATGTGCATTATCACACCTCTGAGCAGCTGTGGGGTGAGCACTCAGGACTCAGTGTCCTAACAGTTCACATTCATCCATAGCCACAGCTCCAGGTTCACACTTCTTTTTTTTTTTCTTTTTTTTCTTTTATTTTTTTCCCAGCAGCAACTTGGATGAAGAAAGACAGAAGAACTCAGCAAAATTGTCTTTGGTGACCCCTCAGGCTGAGAACGTGGCCCTGAAGCATCCTTTACTTGGACCTCACCCTGCCACTAGAGAGGTGGGACTGGCAGGATGCTCAAAGCACACGTGGAAGATCCCCTCACAAAAACACCCAGAACAAAATGATGTCTCACCTCTCCTCCCTCCCCCCCGCTCCTTGTGGTGACATAATTTACTCCTCTCACAGAATAAAGAGAAGGCCATATAATCTGTTCTTGTTTTAAAATGCGTTTCTGTCAGTGTGCCTCACAAAGGGATCAAGTTAGTGCTACTTAAACAATTGAGTACTCAAAATCACACTGTACAATCTGGTCGTGGTAGTTTTTTCTCACTCTTTTATGTGACCCAATAAAAAAGGAAAGCTAAAGGCAAATTAGATTGTACAGATTAAAACAGGATAATTTCCTTCAATCCTTACAAGGCTTTATTTTCAATATAGAACCTGTGGAGACTGGCACATGCAAGAAAAAATCTGGGTAAGTGTATGAAGTTTATAATGGTCACTTTTACTGCAGGGAATCCAAAATTCTGCAGGACAGTCTTTCTAAATAAGTAGGGCATGTAAACATTAGAATGAACCAGGATTTCTGTCTGTACCTCTCTATTTGGAGGAAATGAATGCCAGTTATTCACTCAGCATATATTCACAGGTTTGCATTCATAAACTAACTGAGTTTGTACTCATGCTATTAATTAGCAGATTTTTTCCCTTTTTAGGATAACACAGGTCAGGATTTCTCATGCTCAATAATATGTGAAGAAATAAGGCCCCAAAACTCTTATTGTTGAGAAAAGATCAAAGGAGTAATCTCTGTATGATTCTGAAAAAAAATTTCTCTGCCTCTTCTGTTTGTGCAGTGCATGGTAACTTTGCACTGCATATCAGTGTGATAAAATCAATTACTAATTGGACATCATTTTATTACATTTAATGGACAAGTCTTTAATTTGGCCTTTGAATCTCACAAAGACTTTACCAAGCAATAAATACAGATACTACTAAGCAACAAATATGTCCAGTCAAACTCTACTAGAAGTCACAAAGATCAGTGAACTTCACCAGCAGCTAGAAGAGGCTCTCCAAAGACCCGTGCCGTTACTGTAAAGACATGATTTCTGACACCCTAGAAGTTATTGTTAGTCAGGGATATTATTCTCTAAGCTGTTTCTTAATCTTTACAAAGGCCTTATGGAAAGAAAAGGTTCCTGCTGCCCTCTCTTCCATGAGAAGCACCATTGTCTTGACAATTTGCCTGTTTGCAAGCTGAGGCCTTACACAGGGCATTTTTAACATTTTTTCGTCTACGTTGGTTTTATAAGTTTAAATAAGTTCCTGTCTGCTGAGAGCTTCCAAAGAGGGTTGGCACTACACCAATTCAAGAAGCTCGCCGTGAAGATTACACACCAG